CCCCAAAACCCCAAAACCCCAAAACCCCAAAACCCCTAGTCCTGATATTTTGCTGAAAGTTTCAGAGAGGAAATCTTTATTTCTTATAGCATTGAAGAGTAATGTGAACAGCTAGAGATCAAAATATGATTCATGCTCCTAACAGGTCTGTTAGATAGAACTTATAGTGGAAGATTAGAATATCAGCAATGAATCCAAAACCAACTTCTAGGTTTGTGATTGGAGCAGCAGTTGATGCAGGAAGGTGCTTCAACCCAACACTAATTGTGAGCATCCCGAAAGTCGTTCCCATAGAAGCTAATAGCAATAGGATTGTATCTGTTATATCATATGATGCTACATTAATTAATCCATCAAAGAATATCCATGCAATAAATGTGACACCAAACAATACCATCGTATAGTAAAATGGAAAGACCATTAAGTCCCAGATGCTACAAAGCACTCTTTGAATAGAGCTAGTTCCTGCTCTACATACACAAGCCATGAGTGCAAAGGTATAGCCCAGAACAGGATCAGAGTTTGGCACACTCTCAGCCGATTTGGATAAAGTGAGAATGTAACATCCCAACAAAGCAGTAATCCCAATTAGATAGTTTACATATGTTACTTTTTCAGAGAGGAGGAGTCCTCCAATAATGACAATCAAAATTGGAGATGTATTGATGATCAACAAACATTTACTGGCTGAGATAAATTGATAAGCCCACACAGTTGGGTATGACCTACCTACTGCAAGTATGTTACAAATTATCAGAAGGATCAAAGCCTTCTTCGATCAACTTGTGAGATTTACTTTATTTTTATAAGCCTGATATGAGTTTACAAATAAAGAAACTCATGCTCTCATGAAGTTAATATCGTACGTAGTCAGCATTGTATTTCTAGTAAGTGCCATTTTCCCAAATACGATGTTGCTAGCATATCAGAAAGAAGAAAACACTGCTCAAGTGAGTCCAATCATATAACCCTGAGTTAAATGATGGTCTTTCCCAATGCTCTTGTATCCACTGCAATTCATATCCTCATTATCAGCGATTTCAAATGATTTATAATCGTTCCCTACATCATTGGCAATCATGATGGATTCATCATAGCTAATAAGAACTGATTTGGAGGCATTATTTTCCTCTTTGTTAGTGTTTAAAAATAACATGATAGGGAAATTTAATCAATTAAAATAATCAACAGCAGCCTTGCATTTTGGGGTTTTGGGGTTTTGGGGTTTTGGGGTTTTGGGGTTTTGGGG